TCTGACTTGTACCCCAGGTCTGTATGCATAAATAAATCAATTAAAAAATAATAAATCAAAAAAGCTTGTGACCTTTGTCCCTGGAAGAAATGGAAGAGCGGGTAGTGCAAATGCAGTTGTTATGGCCAAATAAATGGAGCAGGCAACTGTCTTGTCATCCGGAGACAAAACAGAGGATGGAGAAGGATGTGCCCGAGAGAGCAGCTTGCAGACCCGGGGCCGCGGCGGGCAGAGGCTTTGGAGAGTCTCACTCTCCTGCAGATAGCACCATGCCAGGGTGCTCTCTGTGTGCCGGGCACGGAGCTAAGGGTGCGAAATGAGAATCTCGGGTTCCTTCCAGCCCCAACCATCTCACATTCTGGCTCCAAAGCCAGGGCTTTTAGCTGCCACATTCTGTTTCTCTTTCTCACTGAAATGACACACACGGTCCCCACCCTTACGGTTTGCTCCTCCACACCATGTTCGGGAACAAGCAGGAGCAACTCAGGAAAGACTGGAGGGACCTAGGAAGCTCTTGGTGGTTCTTGAGGCTGCTGCCACAGAGAGCTGGGCATCTGAGCAGAGCAGGGCCCAGCTGGCAGACCCGGGCAGGGCATGGGCAGGTTCCTGATGTGGGCATCTGAGGGTTTGTCTTCTCAGGCTTCTCCTGCCCTTTTTCAAAAAACAATCTCCATACAGGTATGCACAGGCCTTGAGCCTGGCTGACCCTGCTACCCCATTCTGCTGACCACAGGGATCGGCCTAGGGATGGACAGAGGACCAAGTGTGGCGAGGCAGGGTGCTGCCTTGTGCACTTCCCTCTCCTAGCTAGAGGCTGATCCCAGCGTGGCCCGGGGCCCCAGCCATGCCGGGACACCTAGTCTGTAAGAGTGCTGCTGGTGGACAAGAACGGGCAGAAGCAAGGGACAGAAAGTGTCCGCAAGGGATCTCATCGGTGGGTCATCTCGGGGTTGAGGCCTGATTGCCCTGTCCTGGTCTGAATAAGGATTCGTCATTTGTAGTCAGCAATGAGCTCTGCCTAAAACATTTTTCTTTCCACTGCCTCGCAAAGGGCATTCCTGAGATGGAGGCGTGGAGGGGTCTCCAGGGAGGAAAGAGAGTCCTAAGGCCTCGAAGGTTCCAGGAGAAGTCTGGGGCATTCTCTGTTGTGGCATGGAAGCTGCCCCCCCATTTCAGCCAAAGCAGCCTGGACACCCACAATGTCAGCCCCAGGGTAGGCTGGAGATGGGGGTGAGTAATGGACTCTCAATCCTCCCTCCCTCCCTCCTTCCCTCAATTGCAAACGCGATTGACTCCAAACGCGATTGACTTCAAGCTTTCAGAAGGTAAAGGGTCAGTGACCTGAGGCTGCATTGGGGGACTGGAAGCACCCTTTGAGCAAGCAGTGGAAAATCATCCCTTGTCCTTAGTTCTCGCGTTGAGGCAAGACAGCAACAGCCCACTCCTTCTCTGCTCTGTTCCAGCCCTCAGCCTTCTGGGAGAGCTTGTCCCCTGGCCGTGTCCTTCCGACTTACACAGGCTGTTTCGCGTACTTGCTCACACAGGCGCTTGGCAGGGATCAGGAAATCCAGGAGGAAGCTCAGCCCGTCCCCGTGGAAGTCAGAATCCAGGAGACGGAACACCTGAGCCAGGACCGTGGGTGCCGTGGCCTCAAAAGGGGGGTAGAGGCCTGCCAGCGCGTGTTGGATGGCTGCGTCCAGGGATGGGGGGTCCTGTTGAGGAAGCGAGAGGGGGTGAAAAGTGACAGTAGCAGTAATAATAATCAGAGCAGAGGCTACTTCCTGTGACCATCCAAGCCCCGTATGACGAAGGCCCGGTGACTCTCCCTCCCTAGACACATGTACCTTCTTCTCTATTCCCTGACTATGCGAGGCGCGACCCTGCCTCAGGGCCTTTGCACTGACTGTTCCTTCTGCCTAGAATACTCTTCCTCAAGAAAACCTCATCCCCTCCCCTCCTGCAGGTCCTTGATCAGATGTCACCTGCTGATGCAAGGTAGTGTAGGACTGGGGGGAAGGTATTCAGGCCAGGGCCTACTCACTCTGCTCTATTCCCCCACTTCCGCCCTGACCCAGGCCACTAGCCCACCTTTTTGATGGGAGAAGGCACAGGGAAAATGGAAAAGAGGTTGGAAAGTCGGTGGGGGGGGGCTTCGTCATACGGGACTTGGAAGGTCATGGGAAGTGGCCTCTGCTCTTATCATAAAAAAGATTTATTTATATATTTATACAAGAACTGGGGTGCAGACCAAAAGTTCAGGGGGTGAGAGGATTCCGAGAGACAGAGTGGGAAGCAGAACAGGCAGGTAGACTGAAATACACTGCTGAGGGGAGCAGCGGGGGGTCAGGAAAGGTCTGCTGTGCCATGTGGTTCAGCTCCCTGGCGGGGGATCGAACTCCTACTTCAGTGGCTGCCGATAGCTTCATAGTGCTACACTTTAATCCTGTACTTTCACCCGCTGCACCACCGGGGAGGGCCTCTATATCCCATCTTTCCTCTTAGTCAGCTCCTCCCTGGTTTCTAAGCCATAGTCTTCCCATTTCCAGCCCTTCTCTTCAGGACCCCAGTGGGACCATCCTCAAATGCAATCCGGGCCATCAGTCTCCTGCTCAGAACGCCTGACACCTGCGGCCTTCCGAAGCCTCTGGCCTCCAGGAGTTCAGAGCCCTGTGATCTGGCCTCTGAGCACCTCCCCATTCTCACCTCCACCCCACTGCCTCTCACATTTCTTCCAGGAGACACATGCTCTCTCTCATCACCTCCAGGGCTTCACTTACATTGCACAGGGAGGACCTTCCACTTTCCTCCCTCAAGGGTCCCAGGGGAGCCCACCTGGCTGACTCCTCATCCTGCAAGATTCAGGTCCATCTCGTTTCTTCTTTTTTTTTTTTTTAAAGATTTATTTATTTATGCATACAGAACTGGGGTACAGGCCAGAGGCTCAGGAGCGGTGAGAGGCTTCAGAACAGGTAGATCTACGAAGTGCACTGCTGAGGGGAGCAGCGGGCGGGTCAGGAGAGGTCTGCCGCGCCATGTGGTCACTTCTGGGGCAGGCGGCAGGCGGGAATCGAACTCATGCGGAAGTGGCTTTAGCTTCTCAGTGCAGTGCTTTAACCTGCTGCGCCACCAGGGAGGGCCCCCGTCTCTTGTTTCTTTTAGGCCATTTTCACCAAGCTCCCCGCTCACCCAGCTGGGCCGGCATCCCCTTCTGCAGGCTCTTTAACAGGGCTGCCACACTGACTGCCAACTCCCTCAGGGAGAACTGAGGATGGTGGTTAGCACAATAATGGCCTCCAAATGCCCCCGTCCTAGACTATGGAACCTGTGAATTTGTTACCTCCAGGACAAAGAGGACTTCAGTGCAGACAGCATTGAGGCTGCTCATCAGCTGACCTTGAAATAGAAAGAGGTTCTGGATTCTCCAGGGGCCTAAGGTGGTAGCCAGGCTCCTCCAAAGAGTGAGAGGAGGCAGAAGAGGTGGGAGTGACAGGAATGGGAGGAAGGAAGGAAGGAGGATGGAGAGACACATGTCACAGATTAAGAATAGACAGAGCCAAGCACTGTGGGTGGTTCTTAGAAGGAAGAAAATAGGTGGGTCCCCCTGCAAGTCTCCAGGGTAGAATGCAGCCAACACCCTGGGGGTTTTGTGGGGTGGGGGTGGGGGGGGAGACGGACCAACTCTGATCCACAGAGCTGCGAGACAGACAGTACATCTGTGGTGCTGTAAATGACTGCGTTTGTGATCACTTTCCAGCCACAGCCACAAACCCCGCAGTGCGGACTCCTAGTCTGGTAAGGCCCTCAGTGTGCCTCAGTTTCCCCAACTGTAAGTGGGGCTGCTAACTCTGATCCTGTCTGACTCAGAGGGTTACTCAGATACCTGGAGATGGAGGTGGAGGGGTTTGAGGGGAGAGCAAGAAGTGCTCCTGCGGCATTTACTGTCTTTGGTCGTCTTCTGTCTTTACTCATCCTCCAGGCAAGGCTCCAGCCCCAGCCTCTGTGTGAAGACTTCTCCTCTCTCTGGTCCCGTCCTATGGCCTACTCCTGTCACCCCAAGGCCAGCAGCAGTTTGCAGACACCTAGTGTGCACTCGGCCCCCTACTCCTTCTCTAGCTCAGATACATGAGGATTCCAGGGTGGCTAGGACACCCCACTTTGCAGATCAGAAACCAAGGCTGATCTTGCCCAAGATCACATCGAGAAGCAGAAAGAGTAGGGAATCAAATCACCCCAGATCTGAATCAGCCAGGCCTGCCCTGTCCCCTGCCCCTGGGGCCTCGTTTGCCAGGGGACCCGCAGCAGCCACAGGCTTCAGGGTGGCCTCTCGGCTCTGTCCTGTGCTGTTTCAAGTGGGGCCTAAAGAAGTTGTTTACCTCTTGGAGACAAGGCTGCAGACAGGGATGCCTTTGGCTTTAGCAAATTGGCTCAGCTGGCCGCACACTGTAACCATTTAAGGGGAACCAGTAAAAAAGAAGAATGTTCCAAGTGAGTGAGACTTGGCGTTCTTGGCCAGAACATTACCTGCTACAGGCCGGAACCCGAGGGGCTCATAAACTGTCCAAATATTGGGGGAAGCACATAGTGAGGGGGTCCAGGCGGCTGCAGGAAGGAAAGCTGGCCACTCTCCACCCCAAATCAACTAGGCAGCCTAGCCTGGGACCACAGGAACCCAAACACAGTTGGCCAGACATGGGCCCCTCAAAATGATTTCCGTGAAACTTAATCGATGTGTTTCCATTCCTTCTCAATGAGTACAGTCTGGCTGGGCCTTTAACTGTTCCTCGACAGGAACTGAGGCCAGAGAGCTGAAGTGGCAGAAGGTGAGATAAGCTAGAGCCCTCTGCACCTCCCAGCCCCCAGGCCCTTGCTTGCTACTCAGGGCCACAGACAGCCCACCAGGAGGAATGCTGGCCCTGCCTGCAGGGCTGGCTCACGTGTGATATTCTGGAAACTTCTGCACAGGACACAGAAGAGTATCTGTTTTCAGGGGCTGCATCTGGGCAGGGAAGGAGGAAATATTTGTTTCGACATCTTTGCAAGAAGCCTCTTTTATTGCTGTGATCTTAAGCATCACTTTATACAGTAAAATACAATAATATAAAATGCACAGGTTGACGCACTTACCCATGCACACACCCCTATAACCCGACCCAGATCACCACACACCATTTCTGCCACTCCAAAAGTGGCCCCCAGACAATCTCCCCACCTCACTGCTAACTATTCTTCCACTGCAATTTAAAGAAAAATGCCTGTTATTCCTGTGCAAAAGTGTGTGTAAGCCAAGAGGCCAAGAAATAAAGTGTTAACTGCAGTCACCCCTGAGGGTTGTGAGGGGCAGGGGCCTTGCAAGTCACCATTTTAATTTTCTTCATAGTCTGCTGGATTTTCCAAATATTCTTTTGGAGAACTTTTATAATCAAGGGGGAAAAAGAAAAGTGTGATTGTGTGTTTAAGGCTGGCTCCCTTTTTAAATGGTCTCACCAGATGTTGTTTGTTCGGTCTTCTAAGCTGTGGGCTGAACTTCTCTTAAAGGTCCAGATTTGGACCTTTTATCCATTTGCGCAGCAAGGATTCTACCACCACTTTGGCATGCGTGCCCCAAGCGTGGGAGAAGAGAGGACAGTCTTAGGGCTGACTTCAACCTCCCATGTGGCCAAAATGGCTAGGAACGTGGGATTCTACCCCTGACTTGCTGGGTAACTTTGGCCTCAGTTTCCCCATCTGTAAAGTGAACTTCTCCCTTTCTCTAAGGGCCTGTCCAGTAGGGCCATTCTAGATTTCAAAATATAATCAAGTTTAGGGAGGTTTAGAACTGGGGCATGGGCTTCTTGGTGGGATCCATGAGTTCTCAGGTGATGGGCAAGTTTTAAAAAGACCTGTTTGAGAGGTGCTCCTGATGGCGCAACGGGTTAAAGCACCGCATTATGAAGCTCTCTGAAGCCACTGCAGCCCAAGTTCGATCCCTGCCCCGGAGGTGACCCACATGGCGCAACAGACCTCTCCTGACCCACCCGCTGCTCCCCTCAGCAGTGTACTTTGTCGATCTGCCTGTTCTGCTCCCCACTCTGACTCTGGTCAATCCTCTGACTTCCCCTGCACCTCTGGCCTGTACCCCAGTTCTATAAGCATAAATAAATAAATCTTTAGAAAAACAAAAAGACCTGTCCATGCATGCAGGTATCTCAGGCCCAGAGAGAATCTACACCAGCAGCCTACGAGGCCTGAGAGGTGACTAGAAGACAGACTAGGCCTAATGTGAGAGAAGAGTTCCTCTCGCTCCGAGGTGAGGGGCCCCTGAGAGGTGGTCTCAGTGTAGGGAAGCAGCAAGAAGCCTGGCCTACGAGTCCCATGGTGTAAATTCCAGCAAGGCGTTCCTTTATCCACATTGCCGGATCCACTGGCATTTCAATAAAACTTCCTGTTTCTTAAAGATTGGCCCAACCAAACAAATCTGTGAGCCAGATACAGCCCACTGGTGTCGGCTGGTGACCACCAGGTTCAACTATCCGGAAACACCTCCTGAACTTCTCCAGGTTGAAGGTTCTGCAACCCGTGTTGTCTGCCTCTGGCTGCCAAGAAGGTCCTTCTCACATCCAACTAAAACTTCTCCTGCTTTAAATCCTTTTTAATTTTGTGTGGGTGGAGGTAGGAGTGAGAACTGACTCCTTATTTTCTAAAATAAAACCTTTAAGAAACTGGAAAAACAGCTCAGATGCAATGAGAAGCAAGTAGGCATCAGAAGACGTTCGAGTCCAGCTCTGTCCTGAGTCATCTGTGTGATCCTGAGCAGGACATTCACCTCGAGATCTGAGCTTCTGTGGGTTCCTTTCTCTCCCTCTCCCCCGCCTCTGCCCTGGGACCCAGCATCTCCCACAGTGACCACATAGTGTCAGTAATGATTGTAGCTCGAGTTCTTCTTGCTAAGCAAGCCCTCTGTGTCACTCAGGTCTGCGCTAAGACCTTTTCATACATTATTTCAGTTCATCTTCCCAACAATCCTTCGAGTGGTATTTTTATTCCTGTTTTCCAAGAAGCTGAGCCCAATTTCTACCACCACGAAAGAATAGAATGGGGAGATGACCCAGCCCCTGCCCCGGGTCAGGCGCCCATGGACGGCGCCCATGGCTGTCCTAACACAGGGATCCGAGTGGGACCATGCCCTGCCCAACCACCTGGGTGGTTCCCCTCTGCCTTAGCAGCTCAGCCCGGCATGGGGGGCCTCTTAGCAGACACCCAACACACGTCTCCTGCTGCTTCCAACACACTTTACAGTCTAGTCCAGGGCCCCCAATCATCCATCTGCTGGTCTTCCAGCCATGAGCTCTTTCTGCTGGGCACATGTCCTAACTTAGGGTTTATGTCCCATCAGTAATTATACACTCAAAATGATTTTAAATTATTATTTTACTTTTTGCCAATCTGCATTAACTTAAATACATTTATTTTTATTTATTATTCTGCATATGTGCTGTTTCGATCCCTTCCTAACACTCAAAAAATTGAAAATAACGAAATGCTCATTTCAGTGCTGTCAAAAGTTCCTCCCCCGGGACCTGTGGAATTCCAGAGGACTCTGGGAATGCTGAGCTCCCACACGCCCCTCTCCAGCTGGGGGAGCACCGTCCCCCCCTTCAGAGCCCTCCTGGCCTGCGCCTCTCCTCTTTTCCATATTATCTACTTCCAGGTAGTGATGGACTCTGCTGCCCATCACCGACCCAGGGACCTCGGGGAATGAGCTGCCTTTCCCATGGACGGCAAGTCCCCAAGGCAGGGACCAGAGGAGCCTCAATTCTACACCCAGAGCCTTACACAGAGCCTGGTATACAGTAGGTGCTTTAGGTGGCTGCCATGAAGTCAGGGCTTTGGCATTACTGAGTGAACCCAACGGACTCTACCCAGGGAGGAGACCCCTGGCTGCCCCCGGGATGATTTGGAGAGGACACAAACTCCACAGGGATCCTCAGTAAGTAAAGCTACTCTTACTCTCCCCCAGTCCTCCTGATGACACCGGCAAGCAAGTCTCAGGTAGTGCCAGCCTGTCTTGAGCAGCTCTCAGGCACACTGTCATTGCGTCATGTGTCCGTTACCGTGGAGATATGGTCTGAGAGATGCAGCTTTCAGAGAGTTTGTCCTTGTGTGAACATCACAGCACATACTTACTCCATCCTAGATGGAATAAGCCGCGACGGTGGGGTTTCCTGGGACCACTACTGACAGAGACATGTTAAGCAACTCACAGAAAGAAAGCAGCCGGTGGATTAGGAATGGCTCATGGCCAGCCCCATCCAGCCGGCACTTACCAAAGCCCTTTCATTATTATATACGTCTTACAGGTACTTTCCATTTCTGGCAATGGATACCTGTTTTTCATGATCATGCTATATGATTTTCTGTTTAAATACATCTTTTAGTTTATAAAGTAAGTTGATTTAAAGGAAAATATTACGCAAATAACAGGAGATTTTGTTTTCCCTTATCAGTACATAGATAGGCAAAAAGCAAACTGGATAAATCCTAAGTCCCTCTGTCATAAGATGCTCTGACACTAGGCTACCTCAGAAAATTTGATAGCCACTAATCATATCACCCCACTAAAACCGCAATGTGATCGTGCTCATAAAGGAGAGAGATGTGGTATAGTAGAGTTGGAGAAATCAGAAAGGTTTTCTCAAGGGGACGACATTTGGGTGGAGGTTTACAGGATAAATAGGAGTAAGTGTCTTACCCAGTCCGAACAGTATGTGCAAAGGTCCTGTGGCAGGAAGAAGCATGAAACTTAAGTCTCTCAACCAAGATCACAGTGGCTACAATACAGAGGTAATCCAGAGAGTTGGGCAGGTGGTAACATTTAATATTTAAAGACAAAGGTGGGAGGAAAAATCTGCCCATCATTCCCATTAAGGAAAGAATTGCTCAGCCTTTAAGAGGACCCACTAGTGCCAGACCCTTGATCTAGGGGTCTTAGCTTCAGGCAGGAGTTTCTGGATTTTAGCAAGGAAATACCAGCAAGCACTCTGGCACAGACTATGGCGCTGGGATGACTGTGACAGCTAAATGTAGATTCAGAATCCAGGCTCTGCTAACGCCCTTCCTGGCAGGATGACCTTCACTGACCACTTAACTCCCGGGATCCTGCATCTTCATCTGTGGGGTGGAGATACCAGCAGGCTCACTGTTAGAGCTGGTGTGAGTTACAGGCACTCCCTTACATCAATGGACTAGCACAGGGCCTTGCCTGTGGTGCGAGGTGAATAACCATTAACTTACGATGATTATTGTCAAACAGCTGCAAGAGCAATGTGTGTGTTCACTTGCCCTGCTGCAGAAGGGCCCTGGGAGCCTGGCTTTACTGTATGTGTGTGGCGTGCAGGCATGTGTGCTGTTTTAGCAGAAGTGGAAAACAGGTGGACAGGACTCAGGAGAGGACACGTGTGTTCAGCCATGTGAAATGGTGTCGGCATGTTTTGGTGCGCTCCCTGCATGTGTGTGAATAGTTCTCTCTGCAGAGTTCTGTGAACAGACATGCACATAAGTGAAAACGCGCAGGCACTCCACATGGTTGACCACGGTCAAGGGTTAAAGCCCTAGTCTATCTTCACAGCCCTTTCCAAATCCCCACATCTCCTGTAAATCCTCCTGGAGCTCCTGGGCCTGTCTGGAGCCCAGCTGGGACACACACACACACACACACACACACACACACACACCCCTCTCCCAGAGTATCCAGCCTCCTGGAGGTGCCAGCCCAGGAAGTCACAGTGTGGGGAACTGCCTTCTTTCTCCCCTCCTCTAGGCCTACTTCCCTGCCACCTCCCAGGGGAGCACTTCCAGTCAGGATGAATTTGCAAGTCTAACTTTCCAGCCTTGAGTGTAAAGTAGCTAAATGAGCTCAAGCTTTGGAGAGCAACTCCCTCCCACTTCACTCCATTAAACCTCTTGCCCCAGCTGCCTAACTGAGCTGGGGGCGCGCCTGAAACCTCCAGCCAAAACCGGGTGGCCACAGTGGGCATCTCCCACCCTCAGTGCCAAGTCTGAAAGTTTGGTGCAAGAGTTAGAACTAATTCTTATTTGTGCTTCGGGCCAGGGTGATATCAGCTTTACAAGTCACCTACCCTTACTCCACCCACTTTACACACGGACACACAGACGCCCCAAGAGGAGAGGAGACCGGGCATCTCCGGACACATCCCTGCACCCCCTCCCCCCACCCCTGCTGGTGGGGGCAGTTAAGCAGCGGCCTCTGGCGAGTTCCTGCGGGCAGTGTCCCATAGAGGGTCGGGGTCTGCCCTGGACACCCACTCAGGGGCTGAGCCCCACCGAAAGGCGAGAGAGAGCAAGGTGGCCCAGGCCTTGGCGGAGGTTACCATGGCGATGGGCTACAAGCGGTGGTTGCTGCTGCTCTCCAGGGCGCCGGGGGTCAGTCTGAGGGTCCTCAGGACGCGGCAGCGCCTGGCGGTGCTGGTGCTGCAGCAGGCTGAGCAGGCAGGCGGGGGGGGGCACTCACCCCAGCCTCATCTCCGACGGGAGGCGGGGGAGACAGGCGAGCGCGCTAGGGAGCACCGGCGAGAGAGCGCAGACCAACACCCGCGGCATCGAGAAACCGAGAGACTGAAGCAGAGACGCGGCGGGCCACCGCGGAGGGGTGGCCGCAGGGGCGGGGCGGGTCGAAGCGCTGCGCCCCGCGTGGGATGGGGCGGCGAG